TAACTTTACGTTTACTTAAGTAACGTATAACTAAGAAATTAAGTTTAAGTTAGGTACGTACGACTAACTACTACTACACAGTACTACTATATATATATATATATATATATATATATATATATATATATATATTGTACGTTAATCGGATATTGTTCCAATATAAGTATACAGGTAGTACATCTAAAGCACAGCTGTAATCCGAAAATATTTACATGATGTGCAGTAGTGTCATCCCCAACGAAAATGGTGAGGTGACAGCACGTTTAAAATACTTGAATGAATCTGAACAAAGAGTCGTAGAACTTGGAAGTTGTTTCGTGTATTCACCAACCAAGTGATCTAGATCTCTTTTCCTGCTACCCTCATCTGAGCTATTTCAGTGCAGAATTTGATGACTGTTACTAAGTTGCAATATACGTCTATGTACGAAAGCTGGCTCTCAAAATAAACACGAGTGTGCCGTACATTCAAATGATTTTAATACTCCGATGACAGTTCGTGAGGTGCATCATGAGGGTTAAGCTGGTACGGGCATACACGAGAAAGTTAATTTGAAATTATAAACTCTCCGTGGTTCCAATATACTGTAGCTGTTATATATTGTTGACACTACAATGAACGTGTTTTTAAATAACACAAAAAAGTCTACTATTCTACCGTCATTAATGAACGCGAAAGGCCTCGTCGGGACTGGAAATAGCAAACAGTGTTTTGTATGTTATTATACACTTTTATGTTCTTCTAATCAGATGTGCTTATAAATCAACACTCAAGATAAAGTTTTCGTTATTATCTGTAAGGAGAGATGCAGCAACGTTGGACACCAAGTTTATACACGAATTTTCTCGCCTCTGTATAGGCGAGCTGGATTCTAAAATAAATTCGATATTCTTCTCCTGCAGTGAAACCGGCATCAGTGTTACACATGGTACAATGGAATGGTCATAACGCTACAGAATATCACGACATCATTCTATATTCATACAACGGTTTCACGAGATCATTCTATATTTATACAACGTTTTCACGAGATCATTCTATATTTATACAACGTTTTCACGAGTTCATTCTATATTTATACAACGGTTTCACGAGATAATTCTATATCTATACAACGTTTTCACGAGATAATTCTATATCTATACAACGTTTTCACGAGTTCATTCTATACTTATACAACGTTTTCACGAGATAATTCTATGCTTATACAACGTTTTCACGAGATAATTCTATACTTATACAACGTTTTCACGAGTTCATTCTATACTTATACAACGGTTTCACGAGATCATTCTATACTTATACAACAGTTTCACGAGATCATTCTGTATTTATACAACGTTTTTTATATCAATAAACTTATTTTGTTTTTCGTTTTCAACCATTTTCTATACACAATGGAATTGAACACAATCGTACACTAAAAACTAGAAGTACGTCTATTTCGTTTTAACATTTAGACATGTTTTCTGAACATTTCAACTTATTTACACTTGTTCCAGACAAACTATAAAGTTATTCTGTGCTTTCCGTATTCTACGATAGGATAACTTACGGCAACCACAGTTTGAAATTTGACGGTATTTCTGGAAGAAGTCACGTGATGTAATATAGTTAATCTTAAAACAAAAGCTTTAACCATTTAAATGCAGACTTAAAAAGGCTTAACTGACAAACCTAAATCGTATAAACTCTTAGTTTTCCTTGGAAGGTGAAATTATCACAAGGCTACTAGATGGCGACTGGTCAACATCACCAGCTGCCAACTCGGGGGCTATTCTAATCGAATAGTGAAATTTGACCATCACTCTTATAACGCACCCACAATTCCAAATAAGGAGAGCGAATTTTCTTTTGTTGTTGTTATTATTGGCGATAACAGGGCACAAACCACGGAACGAAAGTCCAGCATACTAATCACCAGGCCGCGATCGGTCGGAAAGTTAAATTGAAGAATGAACTGGAACATAATTCGTGAAAAAACAAACAAACTTGCCTTAGATTTTTTCCTGGTGTTTTCTTTCATTTTTTTTTTTTTTTTTTTACAAACCTCTGATGTTGTAGCCATCCTCGTACAATTACGACGAAGCTGTGCGTTAATTGAATGTGTTTTAGGAATCACTAAGCAAATTTTGCTAAAGAAAAGTACGTACGTGTCATGAAAAAAACATTATCTGTTACTAACCAGTAACAGATATTAATGTTGAAGCAGTTGGTAAAATACGCATCAACTAACATTTTAATTGTTGGAAGCTTCATCTTCATTTTGCCAAAACAAATAGACAGAATGTGTGTATGTATATTGTAGCAACTACGACGCAAAATTCCATCAATTGCTTCATGTCGTAATCCCGTAAGTGGTGAAGCCTAACTACTGTACAAGGAAACCCTAAAATATCGCGTTCAGCTCGCTTATCTGATCCTATAAGAAATAAATAAAGGACAGCCGTGTAGCTCAATAAAACTGATATATATATCAATGTAAATATGAACTGCAATGTGAACACTGTATACCATGCTGTCTTCTTACAATTACAAATCCAAAGTAACCTTGACTTCGCTAGCTCTGACCTAGTTTTCAGGTTTTTGCTGCCAGGATCCGCAGCCAATGACAGCGCCGGAGCTAATAATGCAATTTAACCGTCTGAATGTCAGGAGAAAACGTTATTGTAACTGACCGGTGCGTGCTACCAACCGCACAGCAGAAATAATGTGCATGAAGAAAGTAATATGAAATGTGAAGAGAGAGATGAAAATATTCCAAGAATATCGCACGAGAAAAGATGTAATTATTTTTTTTTCTGTAGTATGCAAATAGTCTTTTTTTCACAGATTTAATAAAAAATAACAAACATAGTACGTTATTTAGAATTGGCGAAAATATTCGCATTTTGGCACTTACGATTGAACAACTTTTTTTTCATAAGTCCATTGTCAAGGATACACGTCAAAAACAAAACCTTGTGATAAAACTTGATTTAACGTAGAAATTAAATAAGTTCCACTTAGACCTTTAAAGTAAGTACT